AATTTTTAATTCTCTATTCTCTTTTATAACAGACTAGAGGACTGGCGCACGAAATTCGTGCATGGTTAGGGTCCCTAGGCCTGCCTGGCCTGCGGTCAGGGTCAATCTTCCCCGGCTGCCGGCAGCCACCCGCGTCCATGGCCACCCACCCATGGTTCCTCATTCCCCATTGGGCGATCAGAGACTGCCAGCCGGGGGGGAGGAACCAAGAGGTTGGACGTTCCTGCCCACTTGCCAGCCCCGCCCCCCACTGCTGGTTGCCCTGTGTGTGTGTGGCAATCGAGGCCCCACTCACTTACACCTACCTTGGCCTGGCGCCGCCCACGTCCACCACCACCCACCCCTGGCTCCTCATTCCCCATCAGGCGATCAGAGCCTGCTGGCTGGGGCAAGGAATCAAGAAGTTGTCTGTTCCCACCCGCTCACCAGCCCCACCACTCACCACTGGTTGCCTTCTGTGTGTGGGGCAACCGGCGGGGCAATTGGGGCCCGCTCACTTGCACCCGCCTTGTCCTGGCACTACCCACGTTCCCCATCAGGCAATTGGACCCCACCGGCCAGGGGGAGAAACCAAGAGGTTGGCCAGCAGGCCCCATTTGAGGTGCTGGGAGCAGCTCCTGCGTTGAGCATCTGCTTCCTGGTGGTCAGTGTGCATCATAGCGAACAGTCGTTCCACCATCAAGTTGCTTAGGCATTTATGTATATAGACTAGAGGCCTGGTACACAAAATTCGTGCATGAGTAGGGTCCCTAGGCCTGGACGGAGATCAGGGCCGATTGGGGCCTTCTGGCTGCCAGCCAGAGCCTCCCTTCCGGCTGCCAGATGGGGCCTCCCTTTCCTGGCTGCTGGCTTCCAGTGGGGGGCCTTCCTTTGTTCCATGCCACCCCCTTGTGGTCAGCGCACATCATAGCTCCCATGAGGACAATTTGTATATTACCCTTTTATTATATAGGATAGAGGCCAAGTGCACAGATGGGGGCTGGCTGGTCTGCCCTGAAGGGTGTCCTGGATCAGGGTGGGGATCCCTCTGGGGTGCCTGGCCAGCCTGGGTGAGGCGCTGATAGCTGTTTGCAGGCTGGTCAAGCCCCCCAGTGGGGACCCTAACCCATGGAGGTGTGGCCAGCCTGGGTGAGGAGCTGAGGGCTGTTTTCAGGCTGGCCACACCTCCTTCACAGTGGGGGTCCCTACTGGGGTGCCTGGCCAGCCAGGGTGAGGGGCTGAGGGCCGTTTTCAGGCTAGCCATGCCCCTTGGCAACCCAAGCTCCCAGCCTCTCCTTTTTTTCTGGGGTTTATTTATCTTCTATAATTGAAACTGTGTAGCCTTGAGCAGAGACGAGGGCAGGAAGCTTGGCTTCCTCCATCACCGGGGGCAACCCAAGCCTCCTGCTGGCTCCAACTCTGTGGTTGCATACTCACTCCTTATTGCCTGGTGGGTGTGGCTTGTGGGTGTAGCAGAGTGGTGGATTGATAGAGTGATGGTTAATTTACACCTTTCTCTTCTATTAGTGTAGACAGGTCTCTGCTTTTCTGTCATTCATTGTAAAGACCCTTTTTGATCAATTTGTTTTGTTACCTTGCTAGTCTTTATACCTTCATATGTATGAAATTAAGTCTAAATAGTTTTATATAAGTCAGGTTTATGACTTTAGTAAAAGTAGAGTCATAAATCATCACCAATGTAAGAGACAGTGATGGCTAATACATTGCAGTTATCACTAATCACTTAGGACATAACTTGATTAAATTGTATGTATTTCCAGAGATAAGCCCCTTAGTTCTCCAAATTAGTGTGATTTTCCAGGACCTCCTGGCCTCAGCTGTTTACAATAAATTTGAGTTTAAACAAAGGTGCTCTCAACTGTTTCAAAATATATGTCAATGCCCTAACCGGTTTGGCTCAGTGGATAGAGTGTCAGCCTGCAGACTCAAGGGTCCCAGGTTCGATTCCGGTCAAGGGCATGTATCTTGGTTGTGGGCACATCCCCAGTAGGGAGTGTGCAGGAGGCAACTGATCGATGTTTCTCTCTCATTGATGTTTCTAACTCTCTATCCCACTCCCTTCCTCTCTGTAAAAAATCAATAAAATAGTCAATTGTTCTCAATCTTGGTTGCCACAACATTTTATGGCTAGGGTTCAGGATCTGAAGAAGGGTCCACACACAAATGAAAATGCTAGATAAGAAATATGAATTTAGAAGGCATGGGGGGGCCAGGTGGAAACCTCCCTCTTAGAGAGGCACACCGACTTCTGGCAGATCTGCTTTTTATTCACTTTTAGATACACATCTTTCCCTCAGTACAGCACAGCAAACAGGTAGCAGATAGACAGTCTCAAAGGTCAGTCTGAAGCATAGTAACCTCCATCTTGTATAAAAATCTTCTGTTTGAAACTCTCTGCTATTGTTAGATAGTCCCTAGTCTTGTAAATTCTGTCATTGTAAACTCTGTCACTTTAAGACAGTCTCTTATTCTATAAAATGACTTTGTGTTTAGTTCAAATAATAGAAAAAGATAATCTTAACTGTCTGACCTTGCAAGCTAGCCATCTGATGCAATGGACTAATACTGATAATAATTCCCATATTCTTATGCCAAATGTTCTTTCTTTATGTATCCAAGATTACAAACCGTCTGTAACAAGAACTCAAACAGAGCCCTTTGTAAAATCTGCAAAGAAGCTCAAAGATATAAATACGAAAAAATTCCTGGGTGACTTCGCTCAGAGATTTGGAAGAGACACCTCCCTCTGGGCTTCATGCAATAAACAACTCGTAATTAACTGGCTTATTAAGGCATCTTGTATCTCATTCGCTGACTTACAACACAACAAGTAAAGATCAGGAAAGATTTACTTTGAGGCTATTAGGTTAGGAAATTGCTTCGAGCCATTGCTATCTCAACACAGAACAATTGATGCATAGCTTTTAGCCCTGCTACAGCTCAAGGTTCATCAGCCTTCCGAGTTCCTTGATATACTCTCATGATAGCATTGACAATGGATGGCTTCTCGCTGCACATTAAAGTCACAGGGGCTGGGAAAGAGAGGGGTATAGATACCTAGGCCTCACCTTCAGAGATTCTGATTTAATTGCTCTTGGGTAGGGCTCAGGCTCTGTACTTTTAAGGACTCCCTCGCTGACTCTAAAGTACAATAAGGTAAGAACCCCAGACCAATGCAGAGCTTAGTTTTTTTTGTTTGTTCAGTTCTTTCTGATGTTGCCTTCTTAAAAACAGAGTCTGCTTCAGTGATTTAAGAAATATTGATTGCAGTCATAACTAAAAGGACACTATTATACAAATGCAGGATGTATTTTTTTCCTATCCACTATGGGTTTCCATAGAGAGAGTTGATGAGCTATAGAATGATAAAGATTTTTGTCTTGTTCATACACTTTCCATTCTGTAGTTACTCTTCCTGAGCTGAACCTCGTTAGACAACAGTCCATTCTCCAAATTTACCTGCTCAAATCTTCCCTATGTTTTTTGTATGTTCTTTGTAAGTTGGCCACCTGTTAAGTGGGAAGCCAATGTGTTCACAGGAATTTTAACTCTGGTTTCACTAATACAATTCCTTACTCCCAAAGCAATTCCAAAATTATTAATAATTTTGTCTAAAGGAACCACTTTGAAAATAGGAAATTCAGGTCCTGTGACAGGGTCAAAGGATATACTTTGGGGATCTAAACTCTCAATCTTTATTACAAGGCCAATAATGTATTCTGCTTAAGAATACAATAATTTGCCCTAAGTGGTTTGGCTCAGTGGATAGAGCGTCGGCCTGCAGACTCAAGGGTCCCAGGTTTAATTCCGGTCAAGGGCATGTACCTTGGTTGCGGGCACATCCCCAGTAGGGAGTGTGCAGGAGGCAGCTGATTGATGTTTCTAACTCTCTATCCCTCTCCCTTGCTACATGATGGGGGAGAGCCACCAGGTCAAGAAATAATGTCCCCAAAGCTCTGGGAATTGACCAGCTGTGACAGGTGGCTGACCTCAACTATTTTGAGTGGATCAGGAATGGTTTTCAGACCCAATATCCTGAAATGCAACAGAATCCTGACCTGCGGACTTAACTCGTACAACGTGGGTGCTGTGCAGTTTTCAAAGTGCTTTCTCATGCATCGCCTCACTGGGTCTGAGGAGGTAACAGAGCAGGTACCATGCCCATTTCACAGATGAATAACTGAGGCTCAGAAAAGTTAAACGACTTGCATGAAAGCTCACAAGGTGGTAGGTGGCAGAATCATCTGGATTCAGCTCCCCTGGCACCAGTTTCCTCACATACAAACCCAGGTGTTAAGGTGCTGCTGCATTTTGGTTAAAGTCATTTTGCCCTAAGTGGTTTGGCTCAGTGGATAGAGCGTCGGCCTGCAGACTCAAGGGTCCCAGGTTTAATTCCGGTCAAGGGCATGTACCTTGGTTGCGGGCACATCCCCAGTAGGGAGTGTGCAGGAGGCAGCTGATTGATGTTTCTAACTCTCTATCCCTCTCCCTTCCTCTCTGTAAAAAAAAAATCAATAAAATATACATATTTTTAAATCTTTAAAAAAAAAGAATACAATAATTTAACTGAATCTTTGAACATGATCCGCATTGTCATATTCTAATACTACAGGCAACCATATTTTTACAACCCCTTTCAAAGGCACAAATGATGGTATACAACTCATATCTTCCCCTTCAATGAATGAACGAATAAAAAGTAACATACATATCTGAAAAAAATGTGCATTTTGAAAACAAATTTTGTTTTAGTGATTGATACAGAAAAACTGGCACAGTCTTTTTAATTTGGAGAATTCTATATCGTTAGTAATAAGGGGAATTCAACATCTTTAATTTTTGAAAAAGAGGCACCAGAAAAGTCAAGATTATAATACTAACAGAATGATTAGTCTACAAGGTAAATGTATCTAAGTAGTTTTCAATTTTTAAAGAATATGAACAATTTTAGCATCACTATTTTAATATAAACGGTTTGTTGTTGTTAGTCGGTTACATACCCTGGGAGATGGCACTTTGGCTTCCATGCTTTCTCTTAAATCAAAAACAGAAAAAATGGTGAACACGAAGATATTGCCATCTGCTCCAGTAGTCACCAAAAACTGGTCATCAAAGCTAGCAGAAATGCTTGTAATACGTCCGTAAGTATTGTCATGCACAGTGAAGTGCCAGTAGCTTTCCAGAGTGGTCAGTGAAGAGTCATTCGGGCTTAGGATATAGATTCGAATTGCTCCATTGTGCAGTCCACAAAACATAAAATCTTGGTTAATACTATGAAACAAAAAGAAAGCAAATTGTTCTTCATATTAATCTGAAAATGTTTAATTTTAAATTAATTGTCAAATTTCTAAATTTTTAGTAACAAAGGCATTATGGACTAAATTATGTCCCCCTCAAAATTCACATGTTGAAGCCCTCACAAACCATGGAAGCCCAAGCAAACCAATACAAAAGGGTAGAGGGGAAAAAAGCCTATTTAAAAGTTGAAGCTATTACATTTGGTCTCCAAAAGGATGACTGGCATATATGATTAATTCATAATTATTAAATGAGTAATAATTCAATTATGATTTCTCCAGAATCATTATCCTGACCATGCAGTAGCATCCTCCTAACTAATAGAGAGTAAATCCACACAATTCATTTGTGTGATAAACAGAATTTTTGACAAGATATTTGATAGAGTGAATTAAATAGTTTTAAGATCAGCTTTGATTCTATTTATTCCTTTGATTTATTTAACATTGTTTGAGTACCCCTCTATTTAGACAGATCTTTGAAAACTAACAATATTCACAATGAACAAAAACAGACACCAGTGGGTTGTTGTTTGTTTGTTTGTATGTTTGTTTTAAGATTTCTGAAATTCTGTTCACCTGAAAGTGATGGTTTGGATGGGATTATCTTCTGTAGCCTCAAGAAAACGGAAATCGAAAGGTTCATCTTTCTGCTGTGTGATATCACTGCTTTTGTCATATGGGGGGAACTCACAATGATATAGAAAACCAGAATCATAGCCGCCCTAGAAAAGGGATAAATAACATAGAAAGTGGTACTTCAATAAAAGACACATATGACCATATGAGAAGTATTTTATGTTTTCAAATTTTAAAGCATAAAATAGATGTCTTATTTTCCTTAATATATTTTTACTTATTTCAGAGAGGTGGGGAGAGGGAGAGAGAGATAGAAACATCAACGATGAGAGAGAATCATTGATTGGTTGCCTCTTGCACACCTCCCATTGGGGATAGAGACTGCAACCCAGGCATGTGCCCTGACCAGGAATCAAACCATAACCTCCTGGTTCCTAGGTCAATGCTCAATCACTGAGCCTCACCAGCTGGAAAAAAATAGATGTCTTAAAACATCTACTTTATGTGATTTTTATGATTATAGATGGGTTTTATAAAGCATCTCCATTATCCATTTATATGCACCTATCCTATATAATAAAGAGATAGTATGCAAATTAACCCTCATGCCCTCACAAGATGGCTGCCTATGACCAGGCTGTCGGGGGGGTTAGTGAGGGATGACCAAATGACTGAACAAGCAGGCTGCATGGGGCAACCAGGTCAGCAGGGGGATTAGTGAGGGACAACTAACCAACTGAACAAGCAGGCTGCATGGGTTGACGAAGCCAGCAGGGGGGGTTTTGAGGGACAACCAAATGACTGAACAAGCAGGCTGCATGGGTCGACCAGGTCGGTGGGGGGTTAGTGAGGGACAACCAAATGACTGAACAAGCAGGCTGTGTGGGGTGACCAGGCCAGCAGGGGGTGAGGAGGTCAGTAAGGGGTGACCAAGCCAGTGGGGGAGGGGCAGTTAGGAGCAACCAGGCCAGCAGGGAGGGGGCAGTTGAGGGCATTCTGACCAGCAGCAGGGGCAGTTAGGAGCGACCAGGCCAGCAGGGGGTCAGATAGGGGCTATCAGGCCGGCATGCAGAAGCAGTGAGGGGCTATCAGGCTGGCGGGGGGCACAGTTAGGTGTGACTGGGCAGGTAGGCAGGTGAGAGATTAGGAGCCAGCAGTCCAGGATTGTGAGAGGGATGTCCGACTGCCCGTTTAGGTCCGATCCTCAGGATCTACACCCGCAGTCGGACATCTCCCAAGGGGTCCCAGATTGGAGAGGGTGCAGGCTGGGTTGAGGGAACCCCCCCACCCATGCACGAATTTCGTGCACTAGGCCTCTAGTGCAATTATAATATGCCTTATGATGAATTGTTTCCACCTAAAAGTCAATAGAAAGAGTTCTCACTTCTGACTACCTGCTGAATTCCATTTTATTTCAAGTATTATCCTGAATAAGCAATATTTAATAACAATTAACAAAATCCCAGAGAATTTGGCGCTCACACACTAGAGAAAATACCGAAGGCTATTTTTCAGGTAGAAGATGTAATCACAAAGATATAGAAAGAAATGAATGGCAAGAAAAAGAATAAACCAAAGTGATAGTAAGAAAATAAAACAATAATAAAATGCCTTTTGGAGACAATGAGGGAAGATCAATGGAATTAAGTATTCTAATATCTTTTTTCTCTAGGACTAGTGAAAGAATAGATTCATATCAAATTATATTAGGTTAAGGATGCATATTATGATCTTTAGGATCACCTCCAAAAGAATAGTAAAAGAATATATGACTCATAACCTAATAGAGGAAAAAAATGGGGAAAGTGCTTTAATCACCCAATAGAAGGTGAAAAGGGAACATAGAATTAGTGTGATAAATAGAAATAGTAAGATGGTGGATTTAATCTAAAATACATTAGTTTATCACCTTAAATATAATTAGACATAGTACTCTATTAAAATAAAGATAGAAATCAACCTACAGAATTTTTTAAAAAAGAAGAAGCTTAACTATATGCTGCTTACAAGAGACATACTTTGAATATAAGAGTATCCAAGGGAAAGGAAAAAAATCATTAACAACTCTGAGTTGTGTAACTGGATGGGTTCTAATCTCATTTATTGAGCTAGAAATGGAGCAAGTTTACATGTGGTTTAAAAGTTATATTTTAAACATGTTAATTTTGAGGTGCCAAGGAGAGATATCACATTAGATAGATACATAAATTTGAATATGAGAGGAGAGATTAATAATGAAGATGAAAATTTAAGAATCATTGGCATATAGTTGATATTTAAAGCCACCATAGGACCAGATAAAGTCACCTAGCAAGAAAGAGGGGGCATAAGACCACATCCTAGAGTAGTTCAAATTCCAAACGTTGTTCAGCAAATAAGAAGCCAGTAGAAGAGGCTAAAAAGAAGTGGCCAATAGGATGTGGTATTTTTGAAGCCAGGAAAAGAACATTTTTAAAAAGCATGGGATAAACCCCTCCCATTGATGTGCCAACAGCAATCAAGGCTCAACTACAACAGGAAGATAAACACAGCTCACATGGGGAACACATCTGATGTACTCAGTTCAGATGACCCGGGAGACTGTACCACTGGGCCCCATAGGAAACCTACTACATACGGCCACTCTATCAAGCCTGGGAGGTGTAGCAGCTCTACCTAATACATAGAAACAAACACAGGGAGGGAGCCAAAATTAAGAGACAAAGAAACATGTCCTAAGTGAAAGAACAGAACAAACTCCAGAAAAATGCAGCCTAACAAAATAAAATGGAAGCAAGCAATTTACCAGATGCAGAGTTCAAAACACTGGTTATAAGGATGCTCAATGAACTTAGGAGAAGAATTGGTGAATTTAGTGAGAATTTCAACAAAGAGATAGGAAACATAAAAAATGAAGAGAGAAAAAAAGAACCAGTCAAAAATGAAAAATGCAGTAACTAAAATGAAAAATACATGATAGGAAATCAACAGCACAGTAGGTAAAGCAGAAAATCTAATCGGAGATTTGAAAGATAAGAAAGCAGAAAACACTCCCACTCCTAAAAAAATTTTTAAGTGAGGACAGTTTAAGAAATCTCTGGGACAACTTCAAGCATACCAACATTCATATCATGGGGGTGCCAAAAAGAGGAGAGAAAGAACACAGAATTGAAAACTTATTTGAAAAAAATCATGACAGGAAATTTTCCTAACCTGAAGTAAACAGACATGCAAGTCCAGAAAGCACAGAGAATTCAAAATAAAATGAACACAAAGAGGCCCAGACCAAGACACATCATAATTAAAATGCCAAAGGTTAAAGACAAAGAGAGAATCTCAAAAGCGGCAAGAGGAAAATAGTTAAGTTACCTAGAAGGACACGCCCATAAGACTGTCAGCTGATTTCTCAACAGAAACTTTGCAGGCCAGGAGAGGTTGGCAAGAAATATTCAAAGTGATAAACAGCAAGAACCAACACCAAGATTACCCTACCCAGCAAAGCTATCATCTAGAATTAAAGGACAGACAAAAAACTTCTCAAACAAGAAAAAGCCAAGGACTTCATCATCACCAAACCAGTATTACATGAAATGTTCAAGGGTCTTCTAGAAGAAGAAGAAAAAGATCAACAATGATGTGGGAATTTTGAACTGGAACGTGTGGTGTTCCCTGGGCAGGATGGCTTTTCCCGGACTCTTTGTCCGTTGGAGTCTAAGAATGAAACCACGGACAGAAGATGGTATAGTGATGGTGGAAATTTATTGAAGAACAAGTACAGACTCCCACATGGGGATGGGAAAGAATCTCACAACACAGACTCCCATGTGGGGAGGGGGAAAGGGTGCCACTGAGTCCCTTTTCCCGAACAAGCACAGACCCCCACGTGGGGAGGGGGAAGGAGTCCCTTTTATTATAAAAAAAAAAAAAATACAGTCCTTTTTCCCCAGTTTATAAAGGCTGCAGATTTTTGTGCCTTGATACCCCCGCTGATTGGTCACTATTCCCTTCTGATTTGGTCACTATAGCAAACTCCTGAGCTCAAAGGTCAAACCTCACATGGGACACATGAGGCTCTCCTCTCTCATTGTTCTCCTATTCCCTCTGGGCTTTCTTCCTCCTTCTCTTTATTCTGTAAATGTGTACTTTTGCTACTCCCAGCTCCCTTATGAAAATATAACTTCTGCTGATCCCAGCTCCCTTGTCTTATGGAAATGTACCCTTTTGCAACTCTGTAGCCCTGTGTTTTTTCCATGGACCCCTTAATTTTTAAAATTTCCTAAACCTGCCTATTTCACCCCCAAAATTCCTATTTTACACAAAAAACTCCTTTCAACAATATAAATAAAATGGCAATAAATACATATCCATCAAAAATTACTTTAAATACAAATGGGTTAAATGCTCCAATCAAAAGACATACAGTGGTTGAGTGGATAATAAAAGAAGACCCTTATATATGCTATCCATAAGAGACTCACTTTAGAAAGACATACACAGACTAAAAGGAAAGGGATGGAGAAAGATATTTCATGAAAATGTAAACAACAAAAAACTGGGATAGTTATAGTTATACCAGACGAAACAGACTTTAAAACAAAGACTAAATCAAAAGGCAACAAAGGACCCAGCAATTCCACTATTGGTATTTATCTGAAGAAATTCAAAACACTAAATTGAAAAAAAAAAAACACATATGCATCCCCATACAATAGCCAAGATATGGAAACAACCTAAGTGTCCATCAGTAAATGAATGAATAAGGAAGAAGTGATACATATATACAATGAAATACGATTCAGCCAAAAAGAAGAATGAAATTTTGCCATTTACAACATCATGTAGGAACCTAGAAAGTACTCTGCTGAGATTTAACAAGGTGATCAATTCATAAGTTATATAAATCTCTAACCAGTGTTATACACCTGAAACTAATATAATATTGTAAACCAAATCTAATTGAAAAATAAAAAATTATTTTAAAAAAAGAAGGATGGAGGCTCAGCTCAATCAAATATTTCTGAAAGGTCAAATGGATAGAGAAGTAACCATTTAGCTAGGCAATATGGAAATCTTTGAAGTGAAGTGGTGGAGATAGAAACTCAACTAGAATTGGTTAAAGAGCAAATAGGTGGTGAAGAATTGAAGCCAGCAATTACAGATGACAATTTCAAGAAAGTTTCATATAAAGCAGCAGTGGAGGGGAAGGAAAGAGAGATTAAGGGGAAAAATTTAAGATAAGTACTAGAGCATGTTTATGTGCTGATAAGAAATGAGTTACTAGAAAGAAGTTGATGATAGAGAAGACCAGGTGGCTTACTTCAGATGCAACATCTTTGAGAAAAAGAGAGGGGATGGGATCAAGAGACATCTAGAGCAGTGTACCTGGGAAGGTCCAGGGGACCATTCAAGATTTGTAAAAATAGGTGAAGCAGACAAAACTTGTAAAGAGCCATGTATAGCAAATGTATACTGGATAGCACTACCATTATTTTCAAAATGCTAATTATTTTCAAAATGTATAAACAACAGACTCAGCAGGACAACACCTTATACCTTTGCCCTCTTCTATCTCTGATTCTTTTCCCCTTGACCTCTTAGAATATGGATGATTATCATAGGTGATAACAAGTAGACATATAAGAGATATATAAAGATGATATAAAAACAATGGTAACTCACACTCATTCTTCAAACTCCACATCTTTAATAGTAATTAGTAAATGAAGTCATACCATAAGAGTGAAAAAGTAAATATGTACTGAATATAATGACTATCAAATATGTTGGTTTAGGGTTGACATAACAACTATTTATTATATTACTAGAGGCCAGGTGCACAAACATTTGTGCACTCAGGGGGGTCCCTCAGCCCAGCTTGTGCCTTCTCGCAGTCTGGAATCCCTCAGAGGATGACCACCTGCTGGCTTAGGCCCGCTCCCCGGGGGATTGGGGCGAAGATGGCAATCAGACATCCCTCTAGCAGCCAGGCCGCCCTCGGGGGATGCCCATTTGCCAGCAGGGAGCAGACCTAAGCTGCAGTCAGACATCCTTAGCGCTGCTGAGGAGGCAGGAGAGGCTCCTAGCACCACTGCTCTCTGGC